GGCCGGTCACCGGGCTGCCCCCGGGCTGCCCCCGCCACACGTGGGGTTCGGGGCCGAACACATCGCGTGTCCCTGCCGCTGAGCGCCAACGGCGTGCAGTGCGCCCAGGCGCGCCCTGTGCCCCCTCCGCACGGGTAAAACCGACCCCCTCGGGTTCCGGAGGGGACAAGGCGTGACCGGGCGCGGTGACAAACGTCACATCGGTGCAAAGATTGCGTTGAAGCTGTATGAGTTACACCTGCGTCACCGCTGAAGCGCTGACCTCACCGAAGGGACAGCGACAACCCAAGGATGCGGGCGGGCGGCCTCCCGCCGCTTCCCATCCAGCCCGGGGTGGGTCACAGGGGTGCGAGGAACGGCCCTGCCGCTCACCGGCTGGCGACACTACTGTCACCTGCCCTGCTGGCGGCCCAGGGGCCTGCTGGGCCTCTCGGCGCTGTTTGACTCGGGGGATTCTGTAGTTCATTCCCACTCTTGGCCCATCGTGACACAGACACAAGTGCCCGTGCCGCAGAACTCACACCGTTTGGCTGCCCCCCCCTTTTTTTTTTCTGCATGCTTTGCTGAGCGCTGAACGGTGTCCATGAATTTTGGCCTCTGTAGTGGTGTAATGGGGCTCTGGGTGGAAACGGGAAAGCTCCCAAGCTTTGCAGAGGGTGGATTTCTCAAGGATACTCTTGTATGTCAGTTCACACGAGACTCAGGCCATATATTGAAGGTGCACAGTTATAAAAGCTTCCTTTAAAGTAGAAGAAGAGGTGGAGGAACCATGTGAAAAGAGCTATTGTTCTGCTGCTGCCCAGAGCACAGGGGCCCCTCTGGTTTTGGATTACCAGCATGCTGCCAGACTTGCAGTTTGGAGGAGTTAGAGAGAAACAGCTGAGTGCTCCACTCCTCATCGCTAAAGCCTGCGAGCAAATGAAATGGATGAGAGGCTGTGAGGATATAACAATGGCGAGAAGGTGGCAAGAGTCAAAACAGAAGTTTAGGAAAGCAGTTTGGAGCTATTTAATTGGCATTAGTGTTGCAAAATATCAGAGGGCAGGGTCAGAACTGACCAGTTTGAGTTACAGGATATATTCTGGCTGTAGCAATTCCAGCTATTGCACATCACTGCCCACTGTGTCAGACCCTTCTTTTCCTTCATAGAGTCCCTTTCCGAAAAACCTGCTTCCATCACAGAAAGGGACAAATAACCAGAATGACAGCTTTATTGCCATCTAAAATTGCCAAGAAGTGATAAAAAGCATCCAGTAAACCAGCCACTTATTTTCCACAGCAGCTTTAATGCTCAGAATATATGAACATTATGTTAGCAGTATCATCTCTCTTGTAATCAGCCTTATTCATGAAGACACACAGGCTTCTTTCAGAAAAAGACCACACCATAAATCATTGAAACTGTGCTTCCTTCAGATAATATATGAGCCTTGGCTTTATTATTAACGTATTTTTATTACCCTTTTGGGTACACCAGCTGGATCTGTAAGAAGGCTTTTGCCACATCCCTTCTACTTCACTGTTTGTTCACATGAATGTATGCAGAATAAAGGCAGAATCCAAAATTCTGTGTTCCCTTCTCGGTAAGCCTGGGTAAATAATTTTCTAGGTATATTACTAATACAGTGATGAAACTCAGCTCAATCCTGAGTCTGAGAACATTTTTCTTCACAGGAAATTTATGAGACTAAGAGCTTTGTTAAGTACTGTGGGATCCTCCACTGGATTATGCTAGGGAAAGACAAAGGATAGAGATAAAAAGCTTTTTCCTTCCACTGTCCACGTAACAAGAGATTTCCAAGTGCTCATATTACTTCCCAACGTAAACCCGCTCTGATTCTGCATAACATCACCTCAAACCACACATGTTTAACAGGAGATAAGGATGAAGTCAGCCTAGTGACTGTCAGCTATGGGAAAGAGACAGGATATGGCAGGAGGTTATCCTAGTTTGTACAAAAATACCCTGCTCTGGCATGTTAATCAGTTCTGACAGTAGAATGAAATGGTGCATCCCTTATGTATCTATATGCTACATCCCATACATATCCATACGTTCGTTGAAATACCTAGAATAAAACCCTTGAAATTAGGTAATATTTAAAGGAAATGTGTCAGATACAGTCATTTGAAAGTCGTTCTCTGCAGTTCTTTGTGCAACTGAGCTTACAAAAAAATGTCACTCAAGCTTGTGCGTTAGCGCTATTCTTGTTAACCTCAAGGGTCTCCCTTTTGTGATAACAAAAATGCAGAACTTTTCCTGATGTTCCCCAGAGTATTTGAGGGTCTCTGCTGTGCACGGGCTGTATATTTGCAGATAACAGATCCCATAGACAAGTTATAATCGAATAATCCTCTGACCATCCAGAATCTTTCAGTCAGGTGAAGGGAACTGCAAATTGGAATGGCTGGGTCAAACCAACTGTTAAAAAGAAAAAATCATACATAGTCTGTGTTTCTACAGTAGTGCTGCCTTGATCCATACACAGGTCTAAACATCTTACTGTGCTCTGGCCTGCATAAAATTCCAAATTTTGAGATACGGGCATCAGCTTTCTAATACAACCCTCCAAATTACTGGAATTTTATAAAGTGTTTGGCTTGAAACAGTATTTATAACTGGGCTTTGGTTGGATCTCTAGAGCATAAAGGATTACAGAATTCTTTAGGGACAAACGCTTTTCCAGCTGTTTAGTTCAGGCTTTGGGCTGAGCTCTATTCCGCGATCCAGATTTTAAACGGTGCTTTGAGAATAGCTGTCAAAGTCCTCCATCCGTGAGGAAGTTAGTCGTTAGATAATGGGCAAAATACTGCTACGGCTGAAACCACCAGTGGGTTTAATTACTCTTTAAATGGTCAGAGTTAATAGTTTCTACAAAACCATGATGTTCCAGCAGGGTAGAAAGTCCTCCCAAGTATAAACATTGTTAAGTTTATGGAGCTCCCAGATGACTTTCACTGGGGTCTAATCTAATCGCGTGATGTAGATACAGGGGCTCACTCACCGCTGACATGCAAAGGCCAACGCGTGCTGTCTGCTGCGGTTCCCCAGGGAAGCGCAGGTGGCCGGTGCCAGCAGCGTGGCTCTTCTCTGCGCACAGGCTGGCTCTACTCTCACAAGCCCCTGCAATTTGACATCAAGAAAAATCAACCTAGTCCACACTCTCGAGTCTTCAAATAGGCAGGCTTCTCTTCTCCGCAGTCCTTTGCTCACGATTTTATAATTCTCTTGCCTTGACTGCGTGCTCTGTGCCTGCATTAGCACCTGCCTCTGCACTTCTTAGACTCTCTATTTTCCTATCATGTCATGGATACGTGAGTCATCTTATTTGTGATCTGCTGAGCTGAGTGAGAGTCATAGTAGAGTTGTGCGCTTCAAGGCCATTAGTAACGCTGCTAAAACTTGCATAATATATTCTTCTGTGTCTAAATCCCTGAGAGATTGAGTAACTGTTTTCTTTTTCACCCCCAGTGCCTGTGCAACTGGATGAGTCACTGCTGTTATGATAGAGGAATTGTAATCTTTGTGTCTGTCCAGCTTTGTTTGGCCAGAAATTTATTTTATAGAACACCTTTGTTCAATCTCCTCTAAGCCCTTATATGTCACCAGAGACCTTTTCACTGACTTCAGTCCGCTTTAGATCATGTGCTCTGGTCTGGAAACTGTGGTAGTTTAGGTTATTGGTAAAACAGATGGAGAGAAACGTTCACATTTATCCGATAGTCTGGAATGATACTACCGAGCATTTTCATGTCATTATTTATGGAAGCATTAGTGAAACTTACACATATTGAAAGGCATTTAAATAACATTAAATAAAAGCTTATAAAAAAAAAAAAAACACAACAAAACACAAACAGAGATATACCGGAGGGAATATTTTGTACAAAAGATCTGCAGTGACATTTGTGCATGAACCATGGAAAGGACTAGCAACAGATGGCCGGTAAAAAGGAGGAGGGAGGGATGCTCAAACAGGGCCCTTTGGGGAGCAGGATCTGCCCCAGAAGGTGCTGGCACT